AAATGTTTATAAATTCAAGTTAACAGGAAAACTGACAAGGGTGATCTTATATAGTTTAAAAATCTGATGTATGCTGTCTGAAACAAACTTCTTTTCAGCAAGTCTTCGAGACTCATTTCTAATAATAACTACGTAGTTTTTGGCCTAGTGGTTTAGCATGCTGGGCTAGATTGGAAGGTCCAAAGTTTGATTCACATCTTCAGCTGTGGGTGCATTATAACAGTAACAGTTAATCCAACTATTCAGTTGAGAGTGACCACATCGGTAGTTGGGATACTGAATTGTCTTCTGGTGGCTATATCTGAACACTAGGGGTTTTTGAACTTGTGTACTGCATGAGGTTGAAAGTACCAAATCTAAGATTTATCAGCAATGATCGAATAAACCTTTTCAGTTTTTTTTAAACGATTTCACATCCAGTACTCCATGTGGTCCATTTATATATCCTAAAATACTAGGTTTGAATTTTTTATTACCTCACATTCTCCAGTATTGATTTCACTTTAAAAAAACAAAAAACTAAACACGTAAAAGTTCCATTAAAAAAACGAACAAACTAAACACGTAAAAGTTCCATTAAAAAAAACAAACTAAACACGTAAAAGTTCCATAAAAAAACAAACAAACTAAACACGTAAAAGTTCCATAAAAAACAAACAAACTAAACACGTAAAAAGTTCCATTAAAAAACAAACTAAACACGTAAAAAGTTCCATTAAAAAAAACAAATTAAACACGTAAAAGTTCCATTAAAAAACAAACAAACTAAACACGTAAAAGTTCCATTAAAAGTTTGGTGCATTTAATATTATCTACTTTCTTTTTGATATACATTTTGTTTTTCCAATAAAACCTGGTATCTTTCTTAGCCACTGTTTTCAGCTGTTTAGGAATAGGCTGGAATGTTTTGTTTGTAAAGGAGCTGGATTGTTTCACTGTAAAGTCTGTAGCTTTATTTAGATGTGAGACGATATCTAGGTCAGAGCGGTTCAAGTCTCCTCGTTTAACTAAACATACAGGAACAAAAATTCACATGTGTGGCAGAAAGCAATGCTTTTAGAGACTAAAACATAACAGTAGGCGATTTATAGCAGTAGAAGTCACCTTCGTTAGGGTTAATAATGACGTATCGTTGTACTGTGCACCGTAAAGTTAGCACGAGAACACTGACAGAATAAACATACAGGAACAAAAATTCACATGTGTGGCAGAAAGCAATGCTTTTAGAGAC